CATTCTTTCATCTTCTTCTTTCAAATGGTTCTATACTGTTTACTGTCCTTTTTGTGCTTTCTTTTATATTTCGTTCGTTGCGTTAGTGTTTCTTTTTATTCGATTCAGTTGCTGGATTAATCCGGTGTTTTTACTCGGACAAAGATCATTTTGGACAATATACAATCGGGTAAAAAGTGCGAATATTCCAATTTAAGAATCGAATAATAACAATAACACCGATGCGATATCTGTTGTATTTATTTTAATCGAAAGACAAGCAAATCAACATCATCATTTTCATTGAATATTGCAATAAAACGCATGACAAGAGAACAATGTACAGAAAGAGAAGAATAACAACAATCGTCGACAACCGTCAACGACAACCACTCGAAACGGTCGAATAATGTCAATTTACTGCGATCGAGACTCTCTCTCTCTTTCCCCTCTGTCTTTCTCTCTTCGTCCGTATGGAATTAATGCAAAACGAAACAATGAAATCCAACAAAACGGTACGAACAAAAGACAGTGAATACGGCGAAAAAAAAAGAGTCACGAAAACAGTGCGAAAGAGAATCAACGCAATTTGACCTTGACATATATTAATCTATAAAAAAAAAATTTGCACATACATACGGCGAATGCTCGCAAATTGACGATTGTCGTTTTAAACGATGGGTGTGCGATAAATTGCCATCGCTTTATCTCTCTGTTCGTCTATGCATTTAGATTAGACAATGTTTATGTCAGGTTTTTTTTTTGTTCTCTATGGCTGCAGCTAATTCCGTCCAATTGGACGAGCGAGAGAGAAAAAAACGCAACTACTCGGTCGACCCAAATAACTGTCATTAACAAATTTGATGAATTTAAATCACTAAAATTTTTAGATTTGGGCCAACGTTAATCACTAAAAACAATATCTTTTAGTAAAAAAATGAGAAAAGTGAAAAATACACTTCGATCATCAATTGTTTGGAGTAACCGTCAGGCCATTTTATGAGCCAGAAATATAATGATAAATTACAGTAAAAGCACGCTGATTATCGTGCGTGTAGCCCAGTTCGTTTTTTTCTTATTCTTTCATTAGCCGCTTCTTCTCTCTTTTTTTCTCCGCCAATTTCGTTACGCACATATGATGTGAAATTTGCAAACGATCGTATCCGTATGCGTGCATGTGTGTATGAGTGACGTGTAACATGGTTGTGTAAAAAAAAAGAATTTGCGTTCATACTGTGTAATGTATATATGTACAGATCTAAAGTGAATATAGTGCCACAGCAACAACTGCGCATCGCGATGACTTAATGTGTGCACAACGCACACTTGTTTCCATTATATAATACTCATTTATTCGCAATGCGAATATTTCAGTTTTTTTATACTCTTTTCTTTCTCTGGCTCTTTCTCTCCACGTTCGTTCACTCTTTTCCTCTTTCGAGTGTGAATGGAACGTCGCTTCAAATGAGGAAGAGTGAAATGGGTTATTCGTGACATATGGTTTATTTTTCTCTTCTCTTTCTATTTCTTTTGCTAGTCAAGCTCAAAATTATATACTTTCTGCTGCAAAAAAAATAAGTTCCATTGAATGAATTGAACATTCAACGAAGAAAATGGGGAATTTCAGAGAATTTTCATCGCATTTATATATTTTACTTTATGATCACAAAATATATATATTTCATTCGGTGAAAATTTGTACATGTGTGATAGCTTCCTGTAACGCAATATTATTTTTAGATTTTGCAGCAGAAATGACTTTGATATATATTTATATAAAATGTTATTGAATAGACATGCCGAGAATGTGCGTTGTTATCACTACACAAACAAAATTCGAAAGAGAGATCGTTTGCATTTCGTTGCTTCGGTCGCACTCATTCGGTTTTTTTTTTTGTTCTCTTTTTCACTTCGTACACCATATGGGTACGTGCTTTGCTTTTATTTTAACAAGAGATAATTTATTTTCGGCATATTTGCCGATTTGCAAAAATATAAATTCTCCCGTGTTTTTTTTATATTTGATTTGATTTCAAGTAATTTCATACTGCAATGTGTATAAATCCTGTACGCGATGATTGTGCGTTGTACTTTGGCCTAATTGTTTGCACTCGCACAATGTTGATACACATGCATGATGATGAGATGTTATTGTTGATGTGTTCATCGTCGTTGTCGTCGGCGGCGGCGGTTTTGAAAACAATTTTTTTTTTCACTTCAATTTGGTTGGCATTTTTATCAAAGAGTCACGTAATAATGTGCGTTCTCACCAATTTATATTAATTATACATGCATTCTTATCGCGAATCCAAGCTTTTCATGGAAATGAATACAAAGTGCAAATTATACGAAAACTCTTTGCATTTATTTGATCAATTATGTGATTGTGATCTTTGTTAGTAAATACATTTTTCTCATTGGAAGCTCCAATTTTATTTGCACAACGAACGAAAGAAGACGAAAGAAAAAAAAGCGTGCGCTGGTAAAGCTTACGTAATGCAAATCAGCGAATTCATCAACCCTGATACTGAAAATTTCGTCGATTATATAGTAGTTTTAACCTTCAACTTGGACGAAAACGACAAATAAACGAAATGTTAATGCCCGATGCTCACCTTCAACTCGTACGCATTATCTATCTTTCCATACGCACTTCGGATTAAAAAAAAAAACACTTTATATACGCATACAATGCGTACACACGCGTGCACGCATTCAGCTGAGCACACATTCAACACCGTCTCTTTGACGGTATGTGCGAGCGTGGAAAAGGAATAAACGCAAGAGTGAACTAGAAAAAAAACCAGCGACAACTCACCGTATGAAAACCGGTGAAATAGTGCCAGAGAGTGAAAAAGAGAGAGTATGGGGCGAGAATGGGAGGAAAAATAATAATAATTATGCACAAACACCGAAGCCTATACAGAGCGGACAATTTTCTATTTATTTGCCAAAGCAAGTGCAAATATGAGTCTAATTTGCAATAGGCGACACGCTCGCTGCCTTTTCTACCAACAAAAAGCAAACGCACTCTCAAGCTTGCCGAGTGCCAAGAAAGAGAAAAAATATAACGTCAACGACAATATATATACATATTTCTTTTTTTTTGTTCACCACAAGTTATTGTTATGCAGTCGCAACTTTGTGTTTGATGTAATGTTGGCTGGTGCGTTATGTAAATGTGCGTATCGAATTCCCTGACACTGACTTTGAAACGAGAAAGAACGAAAAAAAATATACATATTGCAAATAAGCACACTGGTTGAACACTGTTGAATGTATGCTGCTGCATTTGTAATTTATGTATTTGAAGAAATATGCATTTCTCCGTTCGCCTCGGCACCATGTTTTGCAGATTGGCCACGGTCTAACTGCGAGCAAACTTCTGAAGTGTGACATTTTCTGTAAAATAACATTTTTCTTGTTGTTTATCAGTCGCTTTGAATCGCTGTGCTTTCACGTAAAATCAACAAGGTGATAATTATGGACCTTCAAAGCCGCGACTGAAATGCAGATAAAATCCCAAAGAACTTATGATTGCGCATCGTGTGTCATTTTATCACCTTATCGCTGAAATACATTACCATTATTACTGACAACTTAAATGAAAGAGGGAGAAAAAATGGTGGCAAATATAGATGGGACCGGTGCTTGTGTCATTTGCTTACTGTTCCCATGCAAATTATTATTTGTCGTTTGGTATGACATTGTTGTGCCGGCACAGAGAATCATCCATGCAAAACGTTCCGATTCAGGCTCGGCTTACGCACTAAATTAAACAATGGGGCCTTATTATAGAGGATGTAGTTTCGATATAATCTTTGCTCTTGAGCTGAGCTTGTAAATGTAAAGCATGTATGCCAAATGCGTGAGTCAGGGAGTGCGCCAAAACACTGATGCTTGATTCATTCAATTCACAATCATTGAATATTAATTTGAAATCGTCTGTCGCTCGCTGCTACTGCTGTGTGTTCGCTTGTGTGCAGTTGTATAGCGCAAATTGTGTTAACAGAGCGTTTAGACGTCGCTAAAACGCAATTAGAGCAATAAAATTGATCGATTGATTGACAGCAAATTACGCAATGAACAAAAACTGAATAATTCAACATGGAAAATGTAGAATCAATGCACTCGATAGAGTGCTCGATATGATGCAATCCCAAAATGAAGCATATTTTCGGCGGAGATTTTTTTATGCTCGCGCCTCTTTCACAAAAGAACTTTAGATGTCTATCAATTTGAAATGCAGTTTTTTTCCACTATCTGTCGTTCTCGACATGGATCCGTTTCGATTACTGTAAATTGTATTTTTTGCTCAACAGCATCATGACTCACGATTTGCATTTGACATCAAAAATAGTCTTTCAACGATGTTCAGTTGAAATGACTATTTTTTGTGCAAACTACATTTTGTATGTGTGTGTGTGTTTATTTGTTTGTTTCTGCGTAGCATCTCATCGCGACTGTTGTTATGAAACATGGAAATTCGATCCAAGTGTCGGACATTTCACATGATTCTATCGAATTTTTCCGTAGTGTTTGTGTCAAATAGAAATCGATACATGTTCATGATATTCGATCAGTTTGCATATATATCGAGAATGCATATGACATTTAAAATACATTCATGACGGCATAATTCAACTGTTTCTCGCTCATTCCTTGTCTAGTGCGTTTGAATTGCGAATATCTTTTCCGTTGTGTGTATTCGTGTGTTTTTTTTTTTTGTTTTCTATATCGTTCGTCTTGGTCGAAATCGCTAAAGTAGATTACGACTAGCGATGATGTGGCATTTCGTTTCTCATATTGTTGTTTGTTGTCTACTTTAAACTGACTCTTTTTTATGTTTTATATGTGTTTTATTTCCTAGTTTCAAATATATTCAACTAACGCGGAACAATTTCGACTAATTTATTGCTTGAATATAGGATTTTTATGGAAAACAATATCTGCAGATTTTTTGTTATTCAAATTCGGTTTTCAGTTGGTCGATAAAAAGAAAAGAAGAAGAAGAAACTTACCTTATTGAAAGTATCTCGCCAGTCGGGCGTCACCCGTCCAGCTATCCATAAATAACGAATGCGTTGAAGCCGTTCCACTGGATGACGGCGATTTTTTTTTTTTTTTTTGGATGCGTTTGAGTGTGTTTGTAATGAGAGAGGAGATCGAACGATGGCTTTCGTTTTATTCGGATGGATCGCTTCTACTAATCAAATTCTCGACGCTTTGATATTTCTTCGCTTTTTTATTTGTCGTTTGCTATACGGGTCTTCTTAATCCGCTTCTAATGATGTGTTGGCAGATCTTCTTTTTTTTGTAATATGATCAACCTCTTTTTCGTCTCTTTCACAATTTCAATTCGAACTTTTATATTATCTGGGTGGTTTTTGCGTGCATTTTAGATAAAATCAATCTTTTTTTAAATGAATTTTGACCGAAAGTGTTCTTTTATTATTATTATTATTCTTGTGCTTTTTTGTGGCAAAAAGTTTTTCTCGCTGTCGAAAGTTTTTTTTTCTATTCACACTTAATCGATACACTGTGTTTAAACAAGTGGTGCCCGTTTGATGGTGTCAATTGTTTCTGGTTACTGCAAACTGTTTATTTTTCTTTCGAATTTTTTTTAATTTTTTCAATTAGCTGAATGTTCAGCCGATGCGGACCAAAATTGAATTTTGAAAATCTGATTTGTTTGTTGTTGTTGTTAATTTTGGTAAGAACACGAAATTTTCGATTAAATTTTAATTCTTTTTTTTAAACGCGATACAAAAGAGTCATTTAGCATAAAAGATGTAAAGCGTCACAAAAGACAAACTTAAAAATGTCCTTTTTTACATTGAATAAAAACACACACATAAAGTCATCGTTTCCATTAAGTTCATTTAGAATCAAATTCGAATGGTTTGCTCTTTTTTGGAACAATTAGCATTATATTTTTGTTTTGGATTTTTTTTAATTTAATTTTAAAGTAGATTACGTGTTTTTTTTGTTTAGCAATGTTGATTTGGTTATTGAATTTTCATTCTGCTATTGTGGTTTGTTTGAAAATCGCTCTAAAACACCTGAAAATAGAGAAAGAAATTACGAATATACTAAAAATGATCGGGTGAATCAACTTTGATTTAAAATGTCGTTAATCATTTCAAAACAGAATAATTAAAGTAAAACAAAATCACTTGGTCTTGATGTTCAATTTTTATAAAAATTTGTACTTTAAGAGAATAATTTATTTCACGTTCTAATCCAACAAAAATTGATCATATAATGACATTATCTCTGTTAATTATCGGTGTGCAGTATTCACTGAATTTGGATGACAACTGTATTCACTTTTTCGTTGTAATTTGTATCGATATATTTAGGTAACGCTGCTATGAATGTGCGCGCACATTCGTATGATGATGAAAAAAGAAGATAATTAGAGTGAGAAAAAGTCAGGTCAAAAACTTGTGGGATGACACATTGACATACGAGTTGCTTGGATCTAAAAAACATGATCGATATTTTTACCGATGTAATTGCATGATTGAAAATAGCAGTGTCAATTATTGTAATCACATGAAAATACATGCAAAAACCGTCTAATTGTACAATTGATTCGATCGCATTTTTAATAGCTTCGAAGCGCCACCATAAACCATACTGGTTCAATATCAACAAAAATTGAAACGACCGACGTCAGTGGTTTTTTTTCGTATGCTCACACAAAAAAAAGCGTTGTGCTCAGGTGAAATGGAATCGCACGGTCTGAACGAAATAATAATAATAAAAAAAAGAAAACAATCACACGATGTTTACACCATTCAAGTGAACTTTTCAAAGTACATTTTTTGTTGTATTGATATTGAATTCAAACCTGCCGTCGATGGGAAAATGCGAAATAAAATTCACATGAATCACTGCGTCGCAAAAATCCGTAATCTTCATTTTTATATCTCATTTCAAAGTTGGCTAAACATTGCGTTAATGTAATTAAATCGCAAGAACGCCCGGAACGAAAGTAGTAACAACGCAAGTTAGACGGTAAGTGAAAGAGAGATGAAGAAATCTATGCAAATTTTCGTAGATTTTAACTTGATAGTGTCGAAATTTGCGTATCAAACCAACGCAAATGCAATATTATTACGAAAAGATAAGAGGCGGAATGAAAACAACGCCAAATTTTTTTTTCATTTTAAATCAAATAAAAACGCACGAACGAATTGAATGCAAACTGAAAGCAGCAGCAGCAACAACATGAAACAAGAATAAATATTCTAAAATGCAAAAATTTCACGCACATATTCCGTGCCGAGAAATCGCTCTGGGAAAAACAAAAGCAAAACCGGAATGAATGAGAGCGAGCGAGCAAGATGCAAGTGTGCGCAAGTTACGCGGAACGCGACTTTATAAAATGAAACATGATCTTTTCTGGTGCAACAGTTTAAAACAACTTCATTATTTAAAAAAAAAGAAAGAAAAGAAAAAGAAGTGATGTTCCCAAGCGTTCTTGTCATGAGCTCTCGTTCTTGACATGTGCGCGCATATGTGTGTGAGCGTAAATTGTGCGTAAAAAGTATTGAGATGAACGAATATGGGTTGTTTCATTGATGGATTTAGCCAGGTTTAAAGCAGAATAACAACAATTGCAAGCAGTAGCAGCACAGCTTAATCTTAACTCTATAATTAAGCGAAATTCAATTAAATTCGCAGATTATTCCCAAAGCCCTGACGAAACATATTTTTTCTTCTTCGTTGCATTCATTCACACAGTTTTCGGTTAATTCATTCAAGTTTTTTTTTTGTTCGCGATGAGTTTCCTCGGCGTATTTAATGCAAATTTTAATGTCGATTTTTTTTTCTACTGTTGCCTCTTCTTGTTGCTTTTTTTATTTCAGTAATGCGAACATCTCTCATCAAATGCAACACAGTGTAGGTTTTTTTGAATATGAATGCGCCGCTGTGGCAGTGAGAAAGAAAGAGAGAGCGAGAGAATTCGTCGTCAGCGAAATGAGTCCAACAAATGTATACATACGATGGATAAAACTGTGAGCGAAAAAGTTCTCAAAACTTTAATCTGAAATCCGAAGCAATTTTATGCGATTTGAACCTTGAAGTTCTTAGAAATCGAGTAATAAAAGTGTCGAACTGTGTACATACATATTATGCCATTAAGCTATGTTTATAACATGCGTATCCAATGGATCCAATGCACAAATAACTGACGAGCTCAAAAAGACATATACGCGCAAGAATCAAATGAAATCATAAAAACAACATTCTGATCACATGTCGAAGACGGATTCAACATTGTTGAGAACAAATATAACGGCATATAAAGTTGTTTTAGCTGTGATTGTCCCCTTGCCTTGTCACAGTGAAATTATTGCCACTTATTCATTAGAAAATCGTTGATTTTAATGTGTTTCCAGAAATTGACTTCAATTGAAATTTGAATCCAATGTGCACGAGTGTCTTACTATGGAAAATTGAGACAACGACAGCACAACCATTCGCCTTGGTCAATGGGTGTGTTTTATAACAAATGAACCTTCAGCTCAGACAGTTCTTAATTTCATTCTTTTTTCACGAAATATGTTTTTGTTTTCGAAAAAGCAACATGTGCCCAATTAAAATGCGTCTATTCCAGTTGATCGATCAAAATTAACGTAGCGTTGAAGAAAAAAAATGAGAAGTGCTCGTGAACATTGCATTCAAAATACGAAAACTTGAAAATCTTACACACCGGCAAACGGACCTTAAAAAGCAACCAGATAAATTGGCCAAATGCTTTCTTTATTTGTCGAAAAAAGGAAGAATATAAAAAAAACACCATCGCGTAAAATGTGGTTCAAACAATGTTAAGAATGAGCGGTAACGGACGACTGCGCTTGTTTCCTGGTTGCAATTTGGCAACAAAGCGCCATAAATTTTAAACAATACAAAATCGGCAGATCATATCTTTATTTGGATAATTTTTATTGTTGTTGTGTGCCGCATTTTGTTTGGACGTTTTGCATCGTCTGTCCAATTTAAGCACAAGAATTGAGCGGTAAAAAAATGTATTAAGACCATTTTAGTTATAAATTCTTTGTTTTAATGCATCGAAAATGAACGAAAATTAAGTTATAACAAAATTTAAAGATTTTTTGGCCAACATTTTTCGTCGTTGGCAAAAAAGTGGTGAAAATCGAAAGGTTCTTATCATTGAAAATAGTCTGTATCAAAAGTGGTTTGATAAATGAAATTGGGACATCGAATGGATTAGTCATTTGAGCATGAGTGCTGTTCAACCAATTTCACCTTTCGACACGTTTGTTTTTTTTCGTGTTCGTTTTGCGAATGATAGCTTCGCATCACACTTGTGCGCCAATTTTAATGCCGGAAGGAAGAAAAAACTGTCGAATTTAAACGCACACTGAACATACACTACTATTTCATTCGGTGTACTCAAACCGCGTAATTACCAACTGGATAGATCGCATCGGCAAATTTTCGTCCCAAAAACTATCGTCATACGAATGAAAAAAAAACAACAACACAGAACGGGTGCAAAAAAATGAAACATCTACTTTTTCCGTGTTTATTTTTGAAATGTTCATTCAACAGGCCGAATTTTTTCGCTTCGAATCGATCAATGGCCTAAACGAGTGTTCGGACCGTTCTCTTTTTTTTCTTATTCTCTCTTTCCCTCTCTCTACATTTTGCAAGAGTCTCTGTATTTAGCCAGTTGCTATGGCACACTATAATATGTTTGTGCATATTGCGAACGCGCGCTAACACTTCCAACGAGCCAAATCTAATGCTCAATTGTATTGTTGTTGTTGCGCTTTGCTATTGCTGCGCGTCACTTTTGCGAATTTGCGAATTTTTTTCTGATTTTTTTTCTCTTTCTCGCTCACACACCACTCTGGATTGGCTTTTCAATGTTCATTCGTTTGAGAGTGCGGCGGCTATCGTAGTATATACTTTGTCTTTGTGTATGACCTTGCACACACGCTTATAGAAGCGCACACGGTCACAACCGAAAAAATTATTTTTGCAAATGCGAAAAAAAGACATTCGCATAACGAACGAATGAAAAATAGAGAAAAAGAAACTGACGCGAACGAAATAGCAATAGACAAAAAGTAGTGACATGAAATGAAATAGACGATTTGATATATGACTTTTGGACATTGTGTGTATGGCATTAGAAATGTGCGATCTTTTTTTTCGAATTTTGATGTTCTTCTCATTTTTCGGATGTATTTTTTTTGGGTAAAAGACGCACTCAAGTCAAACAAACGAATGGCAGTTTCAAAAAATGTTAATTTACTTAATTTTAAAATACATTGTCAATGGACCATATTGATTTGCTGTCGATGCGAATGATGTGTGTAACACAAGTGATGTTCGCTTTTTTTTTCATTGCGAATCGAACGAAGGAAACTTGAAAAATAGAAAACTTGGAATTTTTGTTTAGATTTACTTGAAGCGGATTGAAAAAATGCGTTTGAATACACATTTTCGACAGCTGTTGAGCCTTTCGATCGCATTCTATCGACCCGAACGAAGCAACACTAACAATCGCTATGCAAATAAACAACTAAATGCTTTGATTGCGATAGTTTATATAGCATAAGTTGGCCGTTTTATCAAAGAAATCTTCTTATCTTTTTTTCGAAATCGATTTCTGCCACTTACTGAGAAATAAAGCGATAGCCCGACAAAGGATGGGATAAGTAAAACTTTAACGACAAAAAAGCGTAAAATTTGATCTAAAAGTCAGTATATGTGATCTAGCGTCAGATGATTGAGTAAAAGCACCTGTTTCAGCATGTTCCGTGTCTACTTATGCGTTGTTTCTTTAATACAGTTGAAAGGGGTCTCGATACGCTTGTAGTATATATATTGCCACCCGAGTTAAGTCTATTCGATTCGAATTTGCCGATTGATTGTCTAAAGATATAAACAACATAAGCAATT